TTTTTTTAATCCTGTGTATATGTTATGTTTTATCGGGATGTTGCTTCTCCGTCTGTCAAATTTGTAAATAGCACCACCAAGTGGTAACCATTGATGAATACTTGATTAAGTTGACAAGTCATCTCTCTTACCATGCTTCCAAAACACCTACATATTTATGCCTTGCAATGTAGAAGGGACAGTTATGTAAAGGGCATTATACTTAGATTGCAAATTTGCTTTATTTCTAAATTAGGATACAATTACTTAGTATTGAAGACCGCAATCGTTTTATATTGTAAATGTCCCCACCAAGTGACAAACATGAATACCACAATCGTTTTATATTGTAAATGTCGCCACCAAGTGACAAATATGAATACCTCAATCATATTCTAAATATCGCCACCAAGTGACAAACATGAATACCACAATCGTTTTATATTGTAAATATCGCCACCAAGTGACAAATATGAATACCGCGAACGTTCAATCGTTTTATATTGTAAATGTCGCCACCAAGTGACAAACATGAATACCGCAAATGTTCAATCGTTTTATATTGTAAATGTCAACACCAAGTGACAAATATGAATACCGCAATCGTTTCTCCAACCGTTTTAGAGTTTTATATTATAAATGTCGCCACCAAGTGACAAATGTAAATACCGCAAACGTTCAATCGTTTTATATTATAAATGTCGCCACCAAGTGACAAACATGAATACCGCAAATGTTCAATCGTTTTATATTGTAAATGTCAACACCAAGTGACAAATATGAATACCGCAATCGTTTCTCCAACCGTTTTAGAGTTTTATATTATAAATGTCGCCACCAAGTGACAAACATGAATACCGCAAATGTTCAATCGTTTTATATTATAAATGTCGCCACCAAGTGACAAATATGAATACCGCAATCGTTTTATATTGTAAATGTCGCCACCAAGTGACAAATATCCATGCCTACTTCGAATAAAATTGCGTTTGATAGTTATATGTATTGCCTTTGAATGTTTCCACACCTTCAAAACGTTTTTTTTCTCTACATTATCGCATCTTGGAGTTTCATGTTAAACAGTAAGTTGATATAACTTCTAGCATTTCACCACAGACGATTCCAGAATGCGACTGGCAGATACTAACTAGTCATCAATGACTTGGTTGAAATATGTGTATTGTGTACCGGTATCCATGACTACGTAAAACAGTGCACTTGGGACAGGAACAACGCATCGGCCAAATTTGGAAATATTTCGCGATAAGCTGTGTCACATGAGATGCAAATCCGAATTTATTATTTTGCTTTCGTCTCGACTCTATGTGAAACAATTTTGTAGAAAGAGAAAGGGATATTCTATGTGTTTTTTTTAGAAAAAAATTAATTAATGTTCGGTTTTAAACTTCGTGTTATCTATACATGGACCACTTTCTGCCGATGTACAGCGTGTCTGCTAACTTAATATATTCACAGTATCTTATAAAATCGTATTCATTTAATATTCCATGTAATTATTAGGATTGTATATTTGATTATATGGAGCTTGTATCGTCCCATGATGCAGTGCTCCCATTTGTGCGCGCTGCACCTACATACATTGCCAACTTTCATTTGTCACCATGGACGGAACTAGAATATTAAGGCCCGGTTCCATTGCACTGCACGGATGAAAAGAGGATGTAAATGTTAACAAATCTTGCTACCCGTTGGAAAATGAATCCGTTGTGTATTCATTGCATACATATTTCATACGCTATATCCATTGAGCATCCGTCTACTGGGATTTCATCCGTGCAAAACGTTTTTTGAGCTGCACAACACTTTCAGAACGGATGAACTATCTGTCGTTTACGATTTCAATCCGCAAAATATACAAGCAACAAACATTCTATGTCCGTTATCATCCGTTAAACGTCCGCTGTATCCTCTCTGCATCCTTGCAACTCACATTCGCTGCAGCTGGAAACGGAAAGAGGGAGGAAAGATAAGGTACATGGAACGTCTATAGATCGTTGATAGCACAGCCTAAATACAGTATTAAAAACGGACAAAGCGTTTGTATCTGGGATGTGTCTCGTATATTTAGGATTTCTGGAGTATGTCGAGAGTATGTAGAAGGACACCTAGCGGACAACCGATATTTTGTATAAAAAGGGGAAGAAAATATCGCATGGTGTTGACACAAAATGTATACATGCATACACTATACATCATACATGCTTGGAGATATCAGACAAAGATAACACTGGCTTGGTGATATCAGGCAAAGATAACACTGGCTTGCTGATATCAGACTTAGATAACACTGGCTTGGTGAAATCAGGCAAAGATAACACTGGCTTGGTGATATCAGGCAAATACAACACTGGCTTGGTGATATCAGACAAAGATAACACTGGCTTGGTGAAATCAGGCAAAGATAACACTGGCTTGGTGATATCAGACAAAGATAACACTGGCTTGGTGATATCAGGCAAATATAACACTGGCTTGGTGATAATGTTACACTGAAGCAAGATAAAGTTAGAGTTGCCAAATATTGTTTTAAGAAAAGCTGACAGAGATGAAATGCACAAAAAGAAAGTAGTGGAGCACATTCAGAAATCACATGCCATTGATTGATATACCAAGGATTCTACAGAGATTGATAACATTCTGATATCAGTGATATTTGATATCAGACAAGAATAAGTGTATAATAGTTGTGTTCATTCAATGAGGTACATAGAGATCACACAGTGGAGTATGAGAGAGCTGCTATAACATATGTTAATCCCTTTCTGGTTTGTCTAGGGCGTGACTGACTTAACTGCATCCTATCCACTAATTACCTCCACATCCTGTTACTGATAATACACTTAATTTCATACATGGTAATGACCCTGAAACTTGAACATGTGCTCCTGTTTTCATAAAGTACTAGTGTGCGTATAATAATAGTTACATTGCACTAGTGGATACCTTACTAAATAATTAATAAATAAATATCAATGACTGTCTATATAAGACAAGACTGCAATATAATGTTAACTGGATAGTCAATTTAATACTACCAGGGTTCCACAATATCAGGCAAAGATATCACTGGCTTGGGGTTATCAGGCAAAGATAACACTGGCTTGGTGACACTAGGCAAGTATATCACTGGCTTGGTGACATCAGACAAATATAACACTGGTTTGGTGATAGCAGGCGAGCATAACATTGGTTTGCTGATATTATGCAAGAATAACACTGGCTTGGTGATAGCAGGCGAGGATAACACTGGCTTGGTGATATCAAGCAAGAACAACACTTGCTTGGCAATATCAAACAAGGATAACACTGGCTTGGTGATATAAGGCGAGGATAACATTGGCTTCGTAATATCAAGCAAGGATAACACTGGCTTGGTGATATCAGTTAATGATACTGATGTATCTGGGTTGTCACTAGTAGTTTCTGGTAATATTAATGACATATCTGGGTTAATACTTAATGGTGATGAATCTATATAACAGTTAATTGCTCTGGACTTGAACACCGGAGCATAATGGTTGTAACTTGTAGTCTGCTTCCTGGGGACATATGTATTACCATTTG